TCAATATACATCGTTTACAGAGGAAGGTATTGCACCGTACTGGTTTGCTGTCTTTGAACTCGTCTACATAGCGATTTTTGTCGGTGTTTCACTTGCGATTCATTTATCTGGTCTTCTCAAGGCGAGTTGCTTTCTTATGAATTCATTTACCAGCTTTCCCAATCACTCCTTACCCGGGGAAGATATTCATCAAGAAAAGTACGATTCGAGTGCAAGACATAAAAATCCTGCGCTTGCGCGAACCACTGAGTCATATGTGTGTTTCGCGGTGATACTCCATTATATCGGGGAGACGGTAGGAACCCACTTTTCAAGACGTACCACTCATAGATGGGTCTTCAAGGGAACCCTATGATTTAGGAATCTTTTTCACTTTGAAACATGTTGCTCCGTTCTAGCACTCTCCCCTACATTGTCGTAACTATCGCACCTTCACAGTGGTAAGAGGCCACAACCTTGGGCTTAACAAGCGTTTTGGGCAGTCACATCTGATCTTATAGGTACGTCCTGAGAATTCCGTATCCCTAACTTTCGCATAACTTTTTTCTCACTCAGAAGAGTGGGAAAGAATTTATGCGATCTAGAGATCAGACTTCTCCTGGACTTAACAAAGTGAAGTTCCCTTCCTGTTTATCCTTTTATATCTTGGTATCAGCTGGTACTGTTTCGAATTTGGTGGTAGTGATTGGGTCGAAGGTGTGGGGTGCTCAGGCATGAAGCCATCCTTGTTCCCAGTTCACCGTGAAAAGTTTTCCCTGTGTTGGAAATGGGAGCCATGAGCAGAGGAAACTGTCCTTGTTAGCGAGGGTTGGCTCTCGTGGTATACACACAGTATACAAACAACGGCTATAGAACTTGAGAAAGTTGCTGAATGTTTTGAAATCACTCTCCAATCGAATTTCCCTCGTCTGAATTTATTTTCATTTCAGACAGACGAAGATGCCGTTACGATACATCATCGAATGCACAGAGAAATCATAGCTCAACAGGAGAAAAAGTTTATGTCTCAAAAGAAGGTCACGTACTCAGCAGCTAAATTGACTTTACTAGTAAATTTTCCGATCCACAAGACATAGCCTTGCCTATGCCCTAGCTATGGGTTACCTCAACGACCTCAACTTGGGGTACTGGGGTATCCAATTTGTTCCACTGAAGTTTATTCAGTGCTGTGTAAAACAAGGAGGTTCATGAAAATTGGAATGACTAAACGGTGGAACCTATAAAGAAATCTCTGTAGCAGGATTCCTATAGTAACCCATCAAAACAACCCTGTAGAGATCTCTGCCTGCAGATACGCCCTGCATTTGCTTCCCCTCGGAATCATAGAGACATTTCTATGTGCCAGGCTGTGCAATGATTTGTGAGCCCCAGATGATTGCTGAGATAGCGATTCTCTCAGCTCTCAAAAACATCTCCAACTAGTTTATACTTTTCTCAGTGAAAGGTAAGAGGGCTGGCCAGAGCGGATTTCGGTCCCAATGAAGTACATATGTTGCCAATTTATGTGCCATTTCTTCATCAAGTATAGGTAATCAAGTGTTTCGAATGGCTTTGGGTAGCTCCCATGTTGGAGACGACATCGGTGATTGTTATTCTGAACATTGGTTCTATAAAGAACTCTCTGAGGATAAATGAGATTTCAACGACTGAATGGCTTCTTTTCAGGAAAATTTCGTTCGACGATAGCTCTCAAGGGACAAGGGCTCGCTACTCGCTTCATCAATCTTTGAAATGGTTCTTTCTTGTTGCACGAACAACTTGGTAAATCGAACTTCCGAGTGAATATTTGCAAATAAATCGGTAGAAATCGTTTCTTCAGTCAATTCCTGGTTACCGTACTCATTACACTCAAAAGGAAGCTGTTTATCAGAGCGAAGGAACTTCGTAGAAGTGCTCTGTCCATATCCACATAGGGTAAGGACAGAGTCTAGTCGCGCGTGGCGTCGAGCGTCGAGCGTCGAGCCTCGAAGTGGTGACTGTGGACCACTAAGCTACCGAATAACTCTCCATATGTCCCATCATAGCAAAATTTATATCACATTCAACGAACAGATTCAATAACGATCAATATGCATGTAGAACATTTGCACAAAGCTTGGCGGAAGAATGAAAATGAGGAGCGCGATTTGGGCGATGACATACATGCCCTGTATCCATTCCGAGGGGATGTTGGAAAGTACGCTTCACTGGTTTAGTACTGGATCAGAAAGTGGGAGCCTCTGAGGGTATCCGCTGATTTTAACCAGTCACAGCGAAGAACTCACATACATCTCCTCGGAATTTACTGAATTTGCATTTACCTATTATAATCACACTGAGGAATACCATAAAATATGAAAAAAAACATGGATAAAACAAGAATAATAATATTAATTAATGTAATACTTAAATAGCACATGTTCAGATACCGATACATATACAGTACGTATACTAGATGGAGAGATTCAAGAGGTCGAAAGAGTGCGTGTGGGTGCGCGCGCGCGTACAGCGGGACGGAATAGAGACCATAGAGACCGGGAAAAGAGAAGAAAACTCTGTAGGAGTACTAGAAACCGGGAAAGAAACGACTATATGAGTATGATGGGCTATTGCTGGGGAAGTAAAGGCTCATGCTGGCTGGCTCATGCTGGCTGGCTCATGCTGGCTGGCTAAGAATGTTTGTATATGTGTACGTTAATAAATATGTAATGAGTGAAAGAGAATGAAGAATGATTACGGGAAACTTTGCACTGTGAAAGATCACATCTAATCAGAAGATATCGTTTGAGGAGTAGTGTTCTCTCGAAGGCTGAGTGAACCGTTCAGATGATCCTTGAGATGCTGCTCCAACTCGCTTGGCGATGCACAAACCTTAGACAATAAGTTGTAGAACGGAATCGAGTACAAAGGAAGGGAAAGAACCATCAGGACTGTCTTCTCAACCATATATGGTCTATCACTACAGGGATATTCGCCACCCCACCCAACTGACCATTGAGCCATTTGGGTATGACTCAAAATTTTAATGAATGGTCCCCATGCTCGAAATGAACGCAAGAATGGATACGGGAAACCTGTCGACTTACTTAGTCAGACCCGATCTCATGAATAGCCCCTTAGAATGAGGTCCTATCCATCACGCTGCTATTAGGCCCTGGGTCGGTCATCTGTTATCTCTTTTTCAGGACCAACGTCATCTAACAGTGACGATAATCCGGTACAGAGACAGGCTAGTCAACTTTCTTCCAACGAGAGAAGGCTCCCATGCGGATAAGCCTGCAGCTTTGGAATGGTTCGGATATGCTCTCTTCGCCCATGAATTCAGTCGAATTGTAATGGGTCCACCAAAAAGGTGTGTAAGGTGTTCAGAGTTCGTTAGCATTTGAAGCTAACTGACAATCCACCACCTTTTTTCCAGAGGGTATAATCGTGGTGTAATCGCGACACTTCCCTTAAAACCCATGATTAATAAGTCCGACCCTTCTATATAGTGAGAAACCGTTACTCGGTCACCAAGGTCATATCACCACCACTCATTCGCTTTTTCTTAAAAGCTTTTTTCGGAGTCTTTCGAGGTTTACAACAGAACTCCATTCCCGAAAGTGTTGAGTAAGACATTCTATCATGACTCATCGAAATCGACATTCAAGATGCAACGCTTCGACCCTAAGCCAGACCCCGATAGGTCGAGGCAGTTTTTAGAGTGTGGAGCAGGGAGTTGGAATTGACTAATATCGCGAGAGAAGCCTTACCTTTTGACAAACAGAGCATACCGTTCGCCACAGCATCATCATCATCTCCATGTTGGTCGGCCCGAAAAGACCAAGTGGTGGAGGCATGGGAAGTGTGGCACCGCCAGGCAGCGAACCTGGGCGGGGACCTGCCTCTTCAGCCGAAGTGGCATCGAATATTCGGCGACCTGTATCGTCTATGTCTTGGATAGCAGCTATATGAGTTCATTTATGAGTAATTCGTTCTTACCTCTTCGACTGGGACTTTGCTGCCACATGTGGGTACCCATGTGAACCTTCAGGTTTCCTCTTGTAGTGAACGCCCGACCACACATTTCACATTTGAACGGCTTGTCACCTGGGAAAGAAAGATCTTTAGAGGAGAGCAATTCGAACGACACTGCCCAAGTTGTAGGACAAAGATGAAACCCAGCCTACCCGTATGGGTCCTCATATGAATTTGTAGGGCTGAACTGGAGCTAAAATGTTTGAAACAGACGGCACATTGATGTTTCGACAAAACTGGCAGCTGAAAATATGGAGTGATCAGATTCAGAAAGATCCTCTATCACTCTTTATGTGAAACTCGTCCACAAAGTATCCCACCTGTCGAGGTGGAGGCGGTTCTGTCTCCGCCCACATCTTCTGCATTGCCTCCAATGGGTTATCTACTGGCAAGTTCGGTGTACTTGAAGCAGGCTGAAAAATTTGAGCCTTCAGAATGGGATGGAAACCAGAGGGACTTTGGCAGGTAGAACTTACCGGTTGCTCAGAAGAAGATAGGGAGGACGTCTCGGGAGGTTGCTGCGGTTTGCGGTCATCCGCATCCGAGTCCACTGACCGTCCCATCGACGAGCCATCCGTGCTATAAATTCTGGATCGTTGATTTCAATCTAGTGAGGACCCACAGTGATAGGAACTCACTGCTCATGATTCTGTTCCGTCGAGACGGAGGCATCACTGCTTCCAGAAGGTGAAACTGAAGAGACCTCCATTTTTGGTAGTTCCAAAGTTGACATTGAAGGGATTTTCAGAGAGTTCCCCTGTCTAAAAATAAAAAATACTTCTTTTAGACATTTTCTTTGGAATTCATGCACGACAATTTGCTTAGATGAATCCGATGAAATCGGAGCGGATGCTGTGACTAAATATGCTGTCGTCAATGGAGGCATATCCAATTTCGTCCAGAATTAGGTCCCCTCTGAATGTCCCTATTTGCAGTCATACCTTCCAACTAAGCCTTTCAATCCTCCGGGGTCAGTTAATTGGTACCAGACTCGTCTGGGAGGATAAAAGCTCTGACTTGTACATCGGCTAGCCACCGCAAATCATTGTATAGGCCACATACACATTCAATACGCCACTCCTGAATGGAAGTCGAATGCGTGGGGCATCCCCCAGACGATATTGATTATAACGCGCCAAGACTTTTCCCTTATTCCTTAAATGTCCCCCAATGTGCGTTATAATCATTCCCGTCTGGAGGATGCCCCACGCATGGGTCAAGGGCATGACTTCGAATGAGAATGCTTCGGGAAGTTGCCCTCCGTTGAGCACGTTGCCAGCTAGGTAGCGGAATGGGTATACCACATATTTTTACTGTAACGATCCCCACCGTGGCGATGACTCTAGGAGCGGCCTAAACCCATTAGTTTGCTTATGTGACAGGGGCAGGGGTTTAGAAACAGTTTGGATTGAATTTTTTGGAGTTTGGAGTTATATTGAATCCCTTATTGAATTTTCCTAAGCCGTTTTTCAACACGCCAAGACCTATATTATATGCCTCGTTCAGCTTTCGTTCACTCCGCTCTTACAGACACTCTTCTACTCCTTCCCGATTTCCCGAAGACCAGCTGCGTCTTAAATGTGCCATGATCTGATTACCTTTTGGCATTTGTACCGGTGGAAAGGTACCCAACTATTATGACTATTTGAGTATGAAGAAATTCTTACCTGGATTCTTCTTTCACTTCAGTGTGCGGCTCCTCTTCTTGCTTCTGATCGAGCTGATTTCCGAGTAGCTGCGCAAGGTTGAACGGAGCAGGTGTGCCATTCTGCGCTGCCGGATTGAAAAATGGAAACAGCGGCGGAAACGGTGACGGGAACGGTCTGCAACAACCCTTATCTTAGACGTCGTTACATTCTGAACTTCTCCTTACGGATTCTGGACTAACCCAGCTCTAGACTGCGGGAGAAGTTTTGGAGTGGAGGGAGACGGCGGAGGTAAATGCCGTCCCGTCAATGCCTGAGTGTGCTCAGAGATGTGACTTTGTAGTTGCATACCAGTCATGAATCTGTAAGAGAGCAGTCGGAGGCTGCACTAAATTGCCTTGAAAATCATAACAACGTTTCTGCGCACGAGCGGTAGCACTTTGGGGAACGATTTTATGGGACTATAGTAAACATGTTGATTCATTTCAGTGCCGATCATATTAGAGTGGCACGAAGCTGCTGATAGCCTCACTTAGGACCAGTTTTATTTGCCCATGACACACCAGAAAGTGCCCTTTTCCTCAGGGGTTCCACGAACATACTTGCGGAAATACGGTGATGAAATTTTACGACCACAGCTAATCATCTAGCGAATGACGAGTCCTCCACCTATTGGCTGCCTAGCCCTCTATCAATACCGTTCCCACACCTCGGCCAGTTCTTGGGACCTAATTGACTAGCTGATTGTTCCTTTTCAAGCATTTACAGCTTACCTCTTCTGACAGATGGGGCACTGTTGCGTTTGTTGTAACGGAGGTGGAAATCCATTGAGTCCAGTCATCGGAGCAGCCATTGGACTACCCATCGGTCCTCCCATGCCGATTGGGACACCACGGAATGAATGCTTTGCTCGATGCACGCCCATGTGTGTCTTCAAATTGCCTTTTGTCGTAAAAGCTCGCTGACAAATTTTGCATTTAAACGGACGTTCACCTGAAATTTGATCCCAGATAGTTCTTTCAAAGGCAACTCTGCAGTAACACGAACAATTGGCAAAAACCGTTGTTACAACGGCGGTTGTGACTCTTCCCCCGTCGAAATGACCACGAACTTATCAAACGAAAGTCCCAAATAAGGTTCGTGTACCGTGACCGTAACTCTTTCTTCAAAAAAACCCAAAAAGGAGGCAGATGGCTGAACCTACCGGTATGGGTGCGATAGTGCATTTGCAGGGCGCTTTTGCACGAGAGCACTCTTCTGCACAGGATGCACTGGTTGGGATCAGTTGTTGGCATAGCCTTGTCCCCAACCAGGGCTCGGATCTTCTCGGCTTCATCACTTGTTGAGATCTGAAATGGACTTATTTTTGATATCTGTCTAGAAATGGGACTATGACCCTTGAGAAGCTCAGTTCACCTCCATAAGTGCTTCCCAATCATCTTCCGTGCCTACATCGGGTCGTTGACCGAATATGTCCGGGCGCGGCTCGAACGGTGGTCGCATGAAGACTGAAATTATTCGTTTTTTGACAAAAGCTCCCTCTAGAGGCTCTATTCGAAACTGTCTCCATAGAAGCAGCCTTGTTCATGTCCAACTCGAAACTCGAACTTTTTTTGATAATGTTAAACACAAAACTTACATGGATGGGGAGGGTGCGGGCTTTGAATCGTGAAAGGAGGAGGAATCGAGAGCGGAAACAGATTTGCAGCTGGAGAACCGAGAAATCCTCCTTGCCGTGGCGGGAAAAACTGCCCAAATATAGTAGGTGGTGGAGGGGCATTTCGTGTCTTCTCTACAAGGGAGAACGATGGTCCGGCTTCTGCTGGCACTGATCCACGGTCGGCATCGGGACTCGCAGTGGACGATCGGCTACAACCCGCTGAGGAAGCTCGAGGAAGGGCCGATGAGCAGTCATGTTCGCGAATCTGAAAAGGGATTGAAATGGTAGAGCTGGCAACGTGCTGTAACCTTGACAGACCTGGTCCCGATCCCCGAAGCGTATGCCGCATTGACTGCATCGTAGCAGCTTCTCGTTTGAATGCTTCTCCATGACATGCCATAGTAGAGCACCACGTGACGGAAACTTCTGAAAAGATAGCTTTACTTGAAGCCCTAAACAGAACCTTTCCCTTTACGGAGCTGATAATTATTATACTTTACCGTATCCTTTGCTGTAATATGGCTCTTTCAAGCTTAGCGAACCTATCTAACAGATATAGGTGGGTGCCTGCGCCTACTGGGACCACGACCTCCTTATGTCAACAAGTCATCCAACGACGACACCGTTGAAAGGTGTATTTCAAGAGAATTCTGATGGAATCGAATCACCTGACGCTTACGCTGCTGAGTATGCCTTTGCACCTGCGATACACCCTTTTGGCGATACCGCACTTCAGTGTGGTATGGCTTTCACCATTAATATCTCTAGCATAGAACATAGGTTTATTCAATCCCCCTCCCTATGTCAATAACGGTTTACTGTGAGACCGTCTCCAAAGGGCAGTCAAAGCCAAGCCGAGTATGGGGTGTAACCTGTGAGGATTAACCAACACATCGTATTTTGCCGCTTTTCTATGCTCCGGCAGTTCTTTGCCAGAGCTTGGCTTGGCTATCCATTCTGTATTCATTCGTCTGTTCCTTACAAATTGCTGGGTGTTCATCGGTAAACCGTGCCTCCCCACCCACCCAAACGTGGGAGTGACTTTGAAGTTTCCGTACGTGCAGAGCTCTAAATTCACATCCAAGCTAGAAGTTCCCATCCCTGCTTTGACGAGTAACCTATAAACTGTTTTCTAATACAACCGACGTTTTTGCCAGTGGTTCCAAGCTCACAAAGAGGTCTGCTCAGGCAAAACACTTTTTTATATAAGATTGGCTCCGCTTGACTCCATGGGCACAACATAGCAAGAACTTGGCTTCTTTACTAGCAGATCCCGCTGATGAGGCCAGTGCCACTGTGGGTTAGATTCTGGGTACTTGTCTACTTGCCTCGATTCATAACTTTCCACTAAACCTTCCCATGTTTCCATGAAGTCGTCGTCAAGGTCTCCGCACATCAGACCCTGTCGTTCTTCTTCCTTTCTGTGCAGCGGGTTCTTTCGATATCTTGTGCGTTGCCCCATTATGCGCATTGCTTTATTGCTTTTCTATTGAACAGTCGCGACGACCTGAACGACGCCCATAACTCGCGAGGAGCGCACACGCAAAAACCGCCTCTATTGCCGGCAAAAATGAGAAATCGCAACAGACAGCGCCAGTGTCACATCAACAGCACGGAATCGGTCGTGGAAGGGTGAGAGCTGTAAAGCCAACCTGGTCACAACCCGTTGCAGGGCATTCCAGTGGGATTGCTACAGAAGGAGCAGAAGTCTCCATGGCTATCGTGGACGCTTCAGAAGGAGCAGCTGACCTGGTCGTGTCGCGGCTAGCCGCCAGATGAGCACAAAGCGATAGAATCTGAAAAGATAGAAGTAGTGTTGTGTACGGGCTTCATAAGGAATGAGGCTATCGTACGTTCTGCGGTGACGTGAGGCTGGCGAGCGACTCAAGAAGGCGTGATCGCTGATCACCTCCGAACAGCGTTTGATCGAGCTTCTTTGTGGAGAGGTCAATCGGACAGGCGTCCATTGCCTGCTGATCGTCGATGTCATCCATGTCAGTCGTCGGCATAGAGGTTCCTAAACAAAAAAACCGTGTCAAACCAATCGTTTTTTCGACGGGTGGCAAGATAACGGAGCAGCTGTGATGCCTGGTGGTGGTGGTGGTAATGATGATGATGATCGCACTACCGCCACACGGAGGAATGATTGAAAGTGCAGGGTTGAGGGAATGGGAAAGCACGGAAGCCCCCTGCTTAGCCGCTCCCGCGTGTCTCCGTTTGTTCTCTAATGCGCACACTATTTGCGTATCATATCGTCTAGTGACCGCTCAAATAGCTGAAAATCACTGTGATGAAATGTGCAGGGGAGCCCGAAAAGAACGGCTTCAATTTGCCCTTATAGGTATTACTGCGGACTCCCCCGAATGGGCAGTGACGCTTTGGGAAACATGACGTCAGAGGAGCGCTAACTTGGTTTTCTTTTACTGTTCATAACTGGAAAGCACTGCCATGGTATCATCCTTATGCATTTCAGCCCAGATTGGAGAAAGTGAGCTTTCCCGAGATCCATATTCTGGCCACGCCCGGTTGGTGGGGCAAAGTGTCTTCAGGGGAGCACGATTTTCTCCATTGTCAGATTACACAACCGTAAGCTGCGTCTTCACGGAAATGCCTCATAGGAGCATAGTGCAGCACAGGGAAAGTTGACATCCCTTGACATCCCTGGAGCACCTGGCAACAGGCATTCAGAAGTACAGTGACTCCGTGTCATTGACCCACGATGCATGTTGACATCCGAAGGTAAGGGATAAACTGTAGACCTAATCCAAGGGTTCTCACTATCATAGGAGATGTGGGAAGTGAGAGAATGCAGTGGCATCGGTGGGGATGGTAACGTCAAGGAATGGACCCTCCTTTGTTCCACATATATATGAAAGGGATAGGGGTTTATTTTCGTTTTCCTGCTATGGATATCTTTATTTGACAATAGACAAGGGCTTTGCTTTCCATGAGTTATTTCTGCAGCAAACCGTCCTTGTATCAACAATACTTATAGAATTTTCTGGAAACTGTTTCTCTGAATTCACTTAATCCTATTACAGCAAATGGATCGGAATCCGGAAACTAGAAATATGCTTCTGTCAATCGAATCTTTTCGAGTAATCGCACTTCCGACTCGATTGAGAAACTCCTCGAAGAGAACTGTATCCAAAGACTGTAGACAGTCTATACCTCAAAGGTCCGTTACCCTGGAGACGACCTGCGCTCAAAAGGAAAGGCACTGGTTATAACGGAAGGTAAGTAATGATGCCATCCGGGAGCAGCCATGACTAGCTCTGTATTTCTAAATGAAAACCGAGCCCTTAGAAAAGTTCAAAAAGATTTGTCGATACCGGGTGAGCACATTATCTTCCTTGGCGAGGACCAATTAATACCAGCCCTCGGCGGAGCTTCCGATTAACCGCCGTTAATCCGAATATGAGCTATTTGTTTACCGTCTTTTACCTAGAAGAAGCAGTTCTGAGTCAGCCCCAGACGAGGGGCTTCCTTCACTCTAGGGTGACTCAGCAGGCTAGCTGCTCGGACAGATGGACAACCAGCCGTAGGAGCTTTTCGCGCACACGGGGACAGTGTGTGTTTACTGAACTACTCGTGTCTTCGTTCATTCATTTTCACTCCGAGGCGTTGTCGGTTTCACCTCCTACACACAGCCAGAGCATTCAATTACCTTCGGTCATTCCCTCTTCAAAGCACACACACACACCCACAGCTTGTCCGTCTTTCGCTACCGTAACACTCCCCCTACAGGGAGACACGGAAAAATGCGCAGCTCACATTGTTCGCTGACAGCACAAATACACGGACCCCACTACGAACGCATCAATGTTGAGAGGGTTGAGAACGCGATGGGAATGGTCCGTTTTGGGATTGTGAAACAGTGTCGCCGGCCCACCCAGACAAATCGGAAGGTCCTCAAAGATCAACTTGAACATGGAAGAACAACCAAATCCCGCGAAGGGTAGCTTAGGGATGACTGCACTTGACTAACAACTAAAGGATCGAAAGTAGCTCTTTCAATCTGATGCGTCTGACGTAGGTAATGTTCAAGTACCGCTAAGTCTCCGATAAATGGCTACTGTACCACCCTGTCCCCACTTTCTCCCCACTTTATCCCGTTACTATGCCCACTTAACACCATAACTGAGTAGGAAAGGTATCAGGACGCTTTCCCTACCCTCGTAATCCCTCGGCTGTCCCATTCACGGTACCAATCGTCTCCACCATACAACTGAAACGCAACACTGGGATGGCCTCAAAAACGCTCATTCTTCGCAATTTTATGGGTTCGCCAACCAGTTGCCTCAACTAATAATTCGCCCCCAACATCGCAACACACAAAATATAATACCGGCGCTTTGCCCCAAACACCATTAAGCAGAGGCAGTGAAGGGAACGAGGAGGAGGTGTACGGGCGACATTGGGGAAAGAGTTTGTGACCTGAGGAGTAACGCGACGGGCAATCACTGCAGGTAATAAAAAGTTATGATCGTCGACGGGACGAATAGCTCTCTCGGAAGCAGTTGCTTCACTCTTCGTCCAGCAAGCGAATTAATCATAAGGGAAATCAGCGCTCAGCAACGACGACGAAGCATCGACGCAGTTGTAGAGGGTGCGAGAGCTAATGCGAAAGATGAGGCCTTGCCGACAGGCCGATTCATCATGAAATGAGCACCACATCGCAGCACAATAAGCTATGATGACAATCGATTACCTACAACCACTACAAATCAATCGATTCACAATCGATTTCCGAGGTAGTTGGGTAATAGCAGGGTTGTGGGTAGAGAAGAGGTGCTAAGATGTTTCATCGGATGTTCCCCCATGCAGAAACGACGACATTGCACTTTATCGAATTGCAAAGAGAACGATGGGAGACGTTATGAAGAGGGACGGATTAGACGCCAGCATGCAGGTGCTCCTTTCGTCGTCGTACGAGACGTCGTAATTCGTGGTTCGAATCGAACGAATCCACCAAGAACCTTATGATCACGATGGGAGATTCACACAGAATTAACGGACCTTTGGGATCTGACCTCGTTTTTTACTTTCCTAACATTTCAACCTTTACGAGCATTCCATCATTCTGTGACCAAACTTCTGCTATGCTTATCCTCAAGGGAGGGGGGGGCTTGTCAACCACAAGCAAACGAGTATTTTCCACGAGAACCCTTTGTGAAGCCTAGGGGGATCATTTTACGAGCGGAGCATGTTAAAAGTTTTCACTTACAGTAATCCGCCCTTAGAATGGGCCGATGCGCAGACATATTTGCCTCACGATATTGCTTATTACCGTACACGTCCACCAATCAGCGATGGCGCGGTTATGAGTCGTCAGCAATAACTGCGCCGCCGCCGCAGCCACCCCGAGCGCTTGGGCGCCTACGAAAGCACAACAATGTTCCCCGCAAAGGGAAAAGCCAGTTGGGTGGGAAGGGAGGAAACGAGAAAGTGACAAA